TGATGAACCGGCCTTGACCAAGCGTGGTGACGAATACTCAAACCTACTCCGTATGAAGAGGCCTTTGCTCAGCAGTGGGCTCTTAACGGCTGATGATGATGATGATAATAAACTTAAGTTTGAATATAAATGCAATTCATTGCTAGTCAGATTGCTATTATCCACAAACTTACAGATAATGACAACGCAAATATATCAATAAGGCATATTATTAAACCATAAAGGTGTAAAAGAGATTTTAATTTAAAAGAAAGTGAAATTTATACGGTACAAGCTTTTGCCCGCGACTTTTTTCCCGTGGAATAGTGATTTCCTGGAGATTGTCAGTTTAGAAACTATCCTATGTCCATTCTCGAGTTCCAAACTATGTCTGTACCAAATTTCACAGAAATCGCTTCAGTAGTTTAGGCGTGAAGAAGAGACAGAAAGACAGACACACAGACAGACAGATTTACTTTCGCATTTATAATGTTAGTTTGGATTAGCTATGTTCATGGTTACCCTAGTTGTGGATTTGAAACCTCATGTCGACCTAATCTTACAAATATTATCAACGCTGTCGTGTGTAAGTACGGATGGATGTTTGTTACTCTCTCACGTAAACACTACTGAACGGATCTGAATGTAATTTGGCACAGAGATAGATTATAGTCTGGAATAACATAATTATAAGATACATTTTACCCTGATACTACGGGTGAAGCAGAAAGTTTTTTCAAAGCATCTGATATCCTCATAATCACTGGTTTACAGGTCGACTATGTGCCTTCTTTACATAAGAAGAGATTACCAGTTTCGACCCTTAAAAGGCAGCTTAGAAATCGCAATTAAAAAGGTCTCGGTCTATCAGAGAGCGTTGCTGCACAGAGCCTGTCAATTTTTGTGTATTTCCTCAGTCGGGTATGTTACACCCATGTGAAGAGGAGAGTTGGTGAAACGTTTAAGTATGATATTTGATAAAGATAGTTCCCATAACAATATAGGAAAGTGATAGTGCTAGCTTGGGAATTGAACAGCACCTATCATACATTGTTTTTGCTAATTGGTACAGATTTAAATAAGTTCTCGATTGGACTTTGATACTTTCTTTGATAATTTGATATAATTGCTTGACCTTCCTACTTGGAATAATGAACAATACTTATCTAATTTCCCCTCAAAAAGCAAAGGTGTTCCATTATAGGAATGACCGTGACTGGGTTTCCGGTAACCTCACTCACACGGCGAAACACAACGCTGTGGTTGTGTCACGCCGGTTTTCTGTGAGGCCGTGGTATCACTCCGGTCGAGCCGACCCATTCGTGTCGAGGCAATACATTACGTATCTAATATTAATGTGTATTAGTGTATTATTAATTTGTTAGTAGCTACGTCGATACTTTAAATCTGAAATTTTAAAAATTATTGTTTTCTATGTGTTGCCAATGAAGTTTTTATAAAAGATACTTATATCTCTTTTCAATCAAAGTCAAAATCATTTATTCCAACTAAACCATAAATAGGTACTTTTGAAACGTCAAAATTGAGAAGTAGTCTGTCAGTCTGTTCGTCGGTGAAGCTAGGTGCTCGTTCCAAATTGTAGATTCGAATGGAGAAGAACGAGCAAGAAAACTCATTACGTGCGTCGTCTTGAATTTACCTAAAAAATCATATGAAAATTAATGAAACAAGAATGGTTTTATAATTTGTAATAGGTCACTTCTTCGTTGTTCCCAAATTCACGCTATTACTGTCAAGATTACGATATGTACCTATACGACCTAGATTCTAGGCACAATATTGTGTGACTAAGACCTATCCCAGACTAGAGTTAGACAGCTTAATTAATTAAGCAGTAACCTAGACCACCTGTCGCTTATTGCAGGAGTTAATTAATGTCGACAACTCTATCTGGGCCATGTGTCATCAAATTGACTAACTAGCTTCTGCCGCGTGGTTCCAATCACTGCTCGGCTCCTATTTGTCGTACCGTGATGTTTTATAGCCTATAGCACTCAGGAACATTGTAGCTATCTATCAGTGAAAGAATTTTGGCAATCCGACCAGCGGTTCCAAAGATTACCCCCTACATACAAACTTACAAATTTTACCTCTTTATAATATTAGTATAGATAACCTTCCTCGATTGATGGATTATCTGACACAAAATAATTGTTCTATTCGAACTTAGTAGTTACAGAGATGAACGCGTTCAAACAAACAAACAAGTAAGTATAGATATTTATTAACAAATACTATTTTATGGTAGGTCATATAAGGGTGCCAGGCAATAGTATTTCAACCTATTACTATACATTGAGAACAGTTACACACTTCACACGAATTTCTCGAATAAGTAAAGACTATTCCTGACCCAGGAATCGACACCGAGACCCTTACTTATTACTTATTAGGCAGGCAATCACACGTACTCACAGTCACAGTTACCTGTATCAAATTGTACTATTAAAAAATAATTGTAATTGTACAATTTAAAAAAAAAGTGTTTCTGCGTAAAAAATGTGGAAAGTTAAAAGCACAAGAAAAGAAAAAAACTTAGTTATGTAGCTAGCTTCATCCGAAAGACTAATTAAGGAAATACTTTTAAAAACAAAATAACTTCAAAATAATTAATTACTTACCACTAGGTAAGTAATTTAATTATAAATACTTAATATAAAAAAAACTTCGTCATAATGGAAAATATCGACCGAGTATACCTAATAAGTAAATTGAATTGTTATTTAGACCGTCCGTACATAGAAAAAAAAACAAGAAAATGTTAATACTGATAATATCACTTTTGAGTGTGGGAGAGCCAATGCTTCGGCAAGAATGGGTCGGCTCGACCGGAGTGATACCACGGCCTCCCAGAAAACCGGCGTGAAACTACCACAGCGTTGTATTTCGCCGTGTGACTGAGGTTACCGGAGATCTAACCCTTCCGCTCCTGAATACATAAATAACCAAAAAACCCCAAAAGATCGGCAACGCACTCGTAACTGCTCCGTTATAACGGGTGTCCATGGGCGGCACTGATTGCTTACCATCATAATGCGTCTGCTCGTTTGTCGACCTATAACAACGAAAAAATACTAACAAAAAAAATATTTGGAACAAAATTTAAACAGATTGTAGTGCTAAAAACTCGACTGTTAGACAATGCCTAAGGCATTAAGTCCACCTTTACATGTATTTGTATAAAGTGTATAAATAAATAAAAAATAGGTCTTCGAACATACTTAGTTAGTGAAATTAAACTAACTATACAACGTAGTCACAAGAATTTGAAAGTTAATAAAGCTAATACTAAACTGTCATAGTTAGGTTTTTCATTAATAAAAGTTGTTTTACTTATGTATTAACATCCTGGCTGTCTGTATATCACATTAAAATAACAGATAAGTATTTCAAAATATATTATAATGTAATTTCGACAAGTTAGGTGAGAGAAAAATAATACTATAGCTTGTTATTCATAACGTAAGGCAGAAGTCGGCAGAACTGTAATTCTAAAAAAAGAAAGAAATTATCTACAAGCAACAAAAGCGACAATTTTATTGGAAACTACACAATGAGAATTTCAAACTACACTAATATTATTTTCCCTACCCGGAAATCGAACCCTTGCTCTACAATCGCAATTTAACCACTCAAGCGTAATATTAAAACATTCAATAATTTATAAAAATATAGCCACAAGTCCCAAAAGAGGGTAGAAAAAAAAAACAGTAGAAAAAACTGTCACCTGCATTATTTAAAATAAGAACATAAAACAAATCGACCGTTACAACAAAAAAAAAACGTACAAATATTCAAATTTCGAATAAAACTCGACGATGCCAATGTTGCCCAATAAAAAGTGTACGTAGTGTTCTAAAATAAAATTTATTGCTTATTAATTTTTATGAAACACTTTGAAAGTTACTAAAGTTAAAATGTCGGTGTAAAAGAATGCGGATGGTTGCTCTGTTACCTGATCTAAAATCATATAAAGGAAGAGTTGTCTGTTAGACAAAAAATATAAAAATTACTTTTATTTTCTTTTGTGGGACTGACCGTTGGAGCCGTGAACCGTGGCTGGCACCGAACTTACACGGAATTAAACGAAGTTGCACGAGCGCGCGATGAAAGTTGAATTTGTGGGTTGCCACGTTTACAGAGGACTTTTAAATTAGGAATTTATTTGTTGCTCTTGTTTAATAAATTGAGAATATGCGTTGAGAAAGAAAATTAGATTGATTGGATGTTGCTTCTTCTAACTGTGGGGTAAGCAAAGATAATCAATAAATAAACAAAGAAATAACATGATTCTAGCCATTTCTTCGCTTGGTTCTACAATCATCACAAATTAAACAGTTCATGTGCGCTGGTCATTATCTTCAGCAATTAAATCCGCAATACGTCCTTTGCTAAACATAGGCTTCCGGACATCACTCAATTACTTCGAGATCGAAGTCTATCAAAAGCCTATTTAGGCAAAAAGATACACCGATCGGATCTGTATGCAGGAGCTCCATTATGACCTTAATTGGGTCGTCTTTACCTGAAAGAGCGACATCCTTCGCTGCGTTTGCTGTTATATGTGGCGTCCCTCTAAAGCACGCATGCATGGTGTATGCTAGTTTGAAATATGTAGTATAATATTGGTCTATCAAAATCGAAATACAATTATAACAAAATAAGATTAATAGAACTCAAGTTTGAACAACTACAAAAACGCATTGAAAAAATTCTGATTAGTAATTTGGGTGGATTATATCTTATTTCGTTCTAGTCATTAAACTGATTTTATAATATATAATTTATACTACTCACTTATACTAAACCGGAGGGTAATAGTAAATTTTTACATAGCATTTTTTATAACACCAAAAAAATCATACATTATTACCAAAATAAAAATCTTAAAAACTGAATGTCAAAATTATACTAAAACTAAATTATACCATTTCGCAAACGTACGTTATATCGTCATCGACGCTAGCAACACCGCTTATCTTTTTTTTGCCGAGCCAGTTCCACAGTGTCGTTCGTAGGGAGAGTACGCGTCGCTCCCCGTCCGCGGTACGTGATACTTTTACGTGGTGGTTCAAAACCGGTTGGGAAAGTGCTTGAGGTGTGGCGTGGGCGAACAGAGCAGTGCCGCGTTCAACCATAAAATACTCTTGTTACAGTTCCAAAACTACACTTTTTGTGTTTGAAAATTAACTTTTACAGTGTTTTGAGTGTAATCGGATCCCTGCGCTATCAATCGAGGTAATCAAAATACAGATAATAAAACTCTTTTGTTATCATTTCGTTTCTTAGTAACGAACCTCTTTACATTGAAGTCGTATAGGTGTCAAAAAGCCGGTTACCTTTGCTACTTTTATGTGTAAAAAAATCAATTTCAATATGGCAACGGATTTTGCGAAGTGGTCGATTGAACTGATTGGAGTTTTGGAAGCAAATATTTAAAAGTTTACTCATTAGATTGGAATGTCTTTGTTCTGCGAACGACTTAACATGATTTTCGAATGTTTACCAATCTTATTTTACGCTCCGAAGTTAGTATTTCGCAATATTACGTGCAATCTAGTTTGAAGGTAGTTTCACAAAGTGCTAACTTGCGTTTTTTATGTTTTTTCTCTCGCTTACTTCAGCCTACGTTGCAAATACGGTAAGTAGGAGGATTCTAATTTACTAACGAACCACAAAATCACTTCCTTGTCTATTCGAAGAATATTAAATACGTTTTGGGTGTGTCGCGAATTTGTACATTATGAAATTTATGAGACATGATATTTTAGGCGCGTGACTATCGTCTCGAACGAAATTAATTAAAGGTTTTCAGTTTATCTAGCTGGTGGTCGGTGAAAGTCTATAGAAGTTCCCCAGTTCTAGTCGCAATACGGTTTTAAACTTTCTCCGTAAGTACTTATTTGAACTTAGACTGAGTTTATCTAAGTTTAACCGTAGTCTGGAACGTTTAACGTATCTCCGAGTACTTATCAATATTCTGATGAGCTTTTGCAGACGTGCATATCGTTATCTGACGAATAACGTGGCTTTAAATATTCTAGATATTACTTTACTGTTATTTGAGTCAAAACGATTGTGGAACGCAGAACAACGCGTTTTGATAAACCTGAACTCTTTGAACTATTTCGATCTTAGTGGGTAGATACCTATACCTACTTCAAGTTTGATCTTTTTACGAGATACCGGTTTCTGCATCGATCTAAGTTTATTCTTATTAGGTGAGCTATTACTTTGTACGTTATGAACACGTGTAAGATAGTAATTTAAAACCTTCTTTTTGTTTCTGGATAAATAGAGAATAATATTGTAGACTGGAGTCTAAAGCCGTTCCTAATTGGTACCATGCTTCGTGCGTGGTTGGCGCAGTGAGTTGGTGTCGCGATTTCAATTCCACCACGGATTAATTATAAAAAAATGTGTGATTAACAAATTTTTGTTTTGTTCTGTGTCTTGATGTGAATTTGTGACGTCTTGTCAACGTATCTAGCTAGTTATAAGAAGTGAAAATCCTATCAAATACTTATTCGAAGCCAAGTTAATTGTATTCTACCTAAAATTTATAATATAATATATGAATAGACATCTATGCCACTTTACATAGTGTAATAATACCTAAAAATCACAGAAATATAAAAAAACTCTTTTCTTATATCTATGCTAAAAATATACATATGAAGGTCTGTTAAGACTAATAAAACCAAAGATGGTAATTCTTAGCAAAAAGTCCAAACTACGTTTTTCCAGACAGAAGTTGATTGCAGTAACATTAGCAAATACTAACCTATAAGCTAATTTGTAGTTATGAATATGATTGGGTCGTCTAGAACTCTAGAACCTAGATTCTGCGTCATAGTTAAGCTCAAATTGTAGGTTGGACACGTACATTTATTCCTTGCTTCATAAATACACAGAGGTTGTGCTAGATCTCTGCTTTATCACTACACAGTATAAAACAGAGTCGCTTTCTCGTTTCCTATATCCGTATGTACGCTTAAATCTTTAAAACTACGCAACGGATTTTGATGCGGTTTTTTTAATAGATAAAGTGATTGAAGAAGGTAGAGACCCGAGTGGGGACAAGAAAAGGAATAGGGTAGTTTTTAGCCATTAAGAGACTGAAACTCCTTTTCGCCCAGGGCGGGAGAAGGTATTGCATGATTTTCGAAAAAAAAAAGGTCCGAACCTTAAAGGTGTAAAAAGTTACGAAATGTTATGTAATTCTCTTAAGGGTAGGTGTAATAAAGTTAGTATTTGATTTTTATTTAACTTTCCGATACCTTTACCGGTAATTTTTTAGAATATTATCCAAATTAATGCAGGTGTTCGCGAGATGTGCGCACAAATACGAACATTTTGGCGAAATAACAAAAAACTATTTTCTTATCGATCGCAGCTCGTTACAAGTATTTAAAAATCTTCCAAGAATCGCTTGTTTATTAGTTTTTGAGTTTATCGCGAACAGATAGATGTGACTGTTTGTTTTATAATGGGTGTAGTACTAGTAGGCATAATACTATAATATACAAGCTAGGTTTTCCAAAACTACATATTTCTACCCTGGGGTGCGAACCTTAGAGTATTTATGATTCAAACTTTTTTATGTGATTAGAGGGCAAACGAACTTAAGGATTACCTGATGGTAAGCAATCAGCACCGCCCGGAGGAGTTACGAGTACGTTGCCTAACTTTTGGGGATTAGGTTTGGAGATTTAAGAATTGGGGGGGAAGAAGTATTGGGCCTTAGGTAGCCTCAATCACACGGCGAAATACAACGCCGCGCGCCGTGGTTGTTTCACGCCGGTTTTCTGTGAGGCCGTGGTATCACTCCGGTCGAGCAGACCCATTCGTGCCGAAGCATGGCTCTCGCAGACTTTACAGTTTTTAGTACAATATGATGACTAAGGTTCTAAATAGAAGGTTATAACTGAACTGTTATACTCTATTATTGTGTTTGCCTCATCATAAGACTATTATTATGACTCGTTCATAGATAAAATGTTACTATTATGATTTCCGATGATCTAACATTGTTAATTGCTAACTTTTGTGGTCATTCCTGGATATGTTGACCACAGCCTTTATTGTTTTAATTATTGCTGTATCGTCACACGGAAAGGAAGATCAAACAATTCTTGAAATAAATGTGGTTTCCGTTGAGATCTCTTATATTAAAATTTTATAATAATACCGATATTGGAGACTTATGTTTTCTTTGTTATAAAATCTTGGTCGTAAACATTTTCCCGCGTTTTAAGAGCTGATTAAAGACAGTGGACTGCATCTTTCTCTGATAAACCGCAATCTCTAACCTGTTCGCCAACAAGTGGAGATTGGGACAATCCTGTCTTTCCTATGTAGAAGGGGCTAATAGTTTATCAGTGTTAAGGCTATTAAAGTTTAGTGCCTGCGATCATAGATGGCGTTGTCCGATCTACCTGGAACTCCAATTTGAGAATTGCGTCCCTGACCCTTGAAGGTTAGCGGGAAAAATATAATATAATATTTATTACATAAGAGATTGTATACACGTGTATTAGAAATAAACGTTTTGAATATTAACTTCAAAGGATATTGTAAGCTGTATGTAGTAATCTAACGAAAAAAAGATGGCGTCGAAAACGTCACGTTATAGTTGTGAAAAGTGTGATGTTTTATGCTCTTATTTAATAAGGGTTGTTTTGTTAATCTTATGTAATAGGAGTTTACCTGTTGAAATTCAGAATTTTGAAGCTAATAAAGTATAGTTGCGGGCATTTAGCTAGCGAAATTTTTACCTTTATATAAATGGAAAATTGCAATGTAAAAATAAATAACACAATACGATATAATGTTATCTTTCTCGAAATTAGAACCTTACGTCTTTGCGTCAGTAGTAGTACTCACAGCCAAACATCCGCTCGTACGAATCATTTAATTTTTATAGGTAGGTACACAAATAATCAAATCCAATACCACTTTTATAGAAATGTCAAAAACGAAACAGTTCTATGACGTGACGTGACGTTGTATATTATGTTAGGATGTGACGTTATCATATTTTTGGGCCACACAGCATACTTTTCTCTTGATAAAAAATTAGAATTAAGTATACACGTCACATCCGTCATTGAAGTACGATTATTTTTGAATGTTTAATTATTGTATTGAAATCTTGAAGGAATTTATTTTTGACTCAGAAACATGTCCAATTTACCTAGGTATATTATACCCCTGTATTTATCAATACTTATTGCAAACTACTTTCAGTATTTTCGGGGAAAATGGTTTCCTGACTTAACTGGATAGAGCTGAGAAAATTTTTCATCTTTGTTTTTATTTTTCGTTTACCTTGCTACGATCTCGAGTTTTTCGTAAGGTAAAAATGGACCTTTATTTGTTTTTATTTTTTTCATAAAAATAAGTAAGTAGAGTACCTACTGGATAATTTTATGATTTCTTTTTGCAGTCGTTCTTTGGTTAATTTAAAAAGCTGATGAACTATTTTAATAATAATGTGTTGTAAATTATTTAATCACTATTGAACAAAAATTCCTTTTACTATTTTGGCCAGATTTCAAGCAGTCTGATCATAAAATTAACCGCATTTAAAGTTTTAAATAACGGACTTGCGTAAAGCAGCTTTTTTCAAGTGGTAACATCACACCTTCGCGTTTGATGTGTTTTCTGCTGTGGCAATGGTATTGGTAGGTAACTAAGAAAAATGTGGTATTCTTTTGATTTCTAACTTCCTGGTTAAAATACGAGTATTACCGATTCTTTTGCGCGTTTTTTTATATTGTATCTCTGCGTTGTAACTCCAAAATCTTAATTTAAAAGAGGTTACCATTTTATTTTTGACTTTAAAAACTTTAAATCAACGAACATACACAACTCACTGTCCAGTTCAAGAATATATCGATGGAAACACATTCTAATTATAACAAACAGGAAATATACATTCAATTAGAAAACTCTCAGCCGAAACGATGCATCCGGTTGATATGGCGGCAATTTCTGACGTTTACCAAATAGGTTATGTTTTGTAGTCTTATTAATAGCTGCTGGCAGTTACTACATTGAAAAACTTTCTAATTTTTTATCGATTCCTTGAGATTTTATGAAAATCTTACACCTCCTTTCGATATACACAATACATACTTAATTGCATAGTTTATCATATCAGCCAGTCAGTATCTCTGTGACAAAGTTTTACTATAATCCGTTCAAAACATAATTTTATATTTTTAATATACCTA